CCCATATCCCCTTCCCTCCATCTGGCCCCAGCCTTCTTTCCTCACCTCTCTGTCTGCAACCTTGCTTACTTATGGAAGAGGTGGGGGTGGGGGTGGGGGTGGGGGAGGGACTGGTCTAGGATGTGGTGAACAGGAGGCCCAGGACTTGCAGTGTTGATCTCCTAACCCCTCCTGGAAAAAACCTGCAGCAAGAGGCAGCATCAGGGGCTTGCAGCTCACCTGTGGAGTTTGGAGGGAGGGGTAAAAGCTGATCGAGGCCCACTCTGCTGGGAGGTAGAACCTGGAATAGGCCTCATCACAGTTGCATAACTGGCTGTGGTCTGCGAAGGCCTCGCTCCCAACCTCACATGCTCCTCTCTCTGAAGCTGCCACACGCAGCCAGGGGCAGCTGACAGTGGAAGGAGTCCCAGGTTGAAACGTCTCTCAAGGAAGGTGGGGACGGGAAGCAGGATTCTTCTGTTCTTTGTACAAAGGCTACACATTTGTGTAAACAGTGTTTTTGAATAAAATATTTTTTTTCATAAATTTGCTGGAATGGCTCCTGGGTCATGGGGACCCGCTGGAGTCGATTTGTTCCTCTCCTCCCGCGTAGCTGGTGCTGCAACGTGTAGCTTGAAGTTGCCAGTTGGCTCCCATTTCTGTGGTTTTAAGGGTGCCATCCCCACCCCGATATTTTCAGTGCCTCTCAGAAGACTAGAGAACTTGAGGTCTTGGGAAAAGATGGGGCAGGGGAGAACTTTGGTCCCTGCCTCTCCTTATCAGCTGCTGCTATAAGCAGTCTCCAAGGTGGCAGCTGAGCGCCAGCGCCCAGACCATCCTCAACCCCTCTGGATGGAAGATGGGGGGGAAGCTGCAGGAGCCTCACAACCGTCCTTCCTCCCCTGGCCTCTTCCCAGAGACCAGCAGGTGGCACCATCCCCCTGTTCCTGCGTTCTCAAACGGTTGGCCTGAGCCTGGGAGGGAGGCTCGGGCGAGAGGAGGACAGTCTCCCCATTTGGCCCCATTGGCATCGGGGATCCAGGGGCTGTCGCCGAGGGCCGGGGCGGGGGCGAGGAACAAGAGCCTATGACAAGGTTTCTTCAGGGCTCAAGGCGAGGGAAGAAGGGCTCGCAGCCCGCCGGGAGAGGCGCAGGGGCCCGGCGCGGGGCTGGCGGGGGGGGGGGGGGCGCCCCCCCCCCCCTGCCGATGCAGGGGACACGGGTTCGTGCCCCGGTCCGGGAAGATCCCACATGCCG